TCCTGCTGCCAGTTTTTCCAATTTTTTTTATCCCTAGTCTGGTGGACTTTTTTTTCTTTCTTATTTTTCAGGTAGTTGGGACAGTACAGTATTATGATTTTGAGGTTTCTAGCTCTATGCCAGATGGAGACTTTCATTGTTTGTATTAATAAGGCAGGAAAACGCTAGGTCAAAATCTTCAACTGCTGTGAATCATTCAGCATAAGTGTATCTTGCAAAACATGAGGCAGACCTTTCAGAGTTTTATAAGTCACCTGCAGTACATTGAACTGTGCCTAAAAGCTAACAGAGGACTTGGGAGGTCTGAAATGCAGTACGTATCTGTAGCCATGTATATAGCATTACCTTGAATTTCTGTGTGACTTCAAGGAGTGGCCACAGGAAACCATATGCTAAAGCAGTCTAATGTGGATATATGGGGCGAGAACGGTATGATAGTTAAATTACATTAGTTCAAATACGAAATACCTGTATTTTTTTGTTCTTTCTCAGCTGTAGTTAGTCTGCTCATGTAACCTTCAATCTGGGAGCTAGGGGATAGTAAGAATCTGAGACTGTGTATTTTTCTTAAAGATTTGGGGATGCTCTTCAAATGAGGTACAGCTGATGTCTTTCTCCATTAAAATAGGCTTTGTATTATCCATTAACATAGACCTTTAGGCTTAGCTTGCAGAAACTAAAATCTTGGCAGTATAAAAGAACATTTAAAGATAATCTTCTGTATTTATTGATAGACAAAATGTAATTTTTTTAATTTGGATTTTTTAAAAGCTAGAATCTTCAACAGTGTGAATTCATGCCAGAGTCCATATCCACCTTTTAGATAGTCTTTTAACGTTAATTAATATTTATCATTGTGTAAACATAGAATTTTGGCAGAGACAGAGTGAAGGTAAGGAAGAACAATGATTATGATATAAGAATACAGAGTGAGAAGAATAAAAATCATTCAGTGTTGAAAAACTACTGTACCAGTACTTTTTATCCTCTTATTCTCAGATCCTTCCTCTTCTATTGCCAACTGCCTGCACATTCCTTGCACGCTTACACTGCAGTCAAAATGTAACTTAAATGCAATATCATAGTCAATACGTACTGGTAACACAGCTATCTTCAGCAAACATGTAGAGCTTTTACCACTCACTTTTTTTTATTTCTCATATCTGGAAACCACTGTTTTGGATATATCATATGTCCCTACATAAGTATTATGTAGGATGTCTAGTTACTATGCAATTTATGAAAATTTCCAGTCCTTAATTCTGTTGATTTGCTTATTTCTTAACATACTTTTTAATGTACTGGTGTAGGCAATAATGTATTGCTATACCAAAGTTTTCACGGGGTGGGAGCTCAAATAGGACCTCTGTTCCTATTAAGTATTTTGACAAACACATTTGTTTTAGGTACTAAAAACAAATGTTCATCACTGTGAATTTTGGTTGCACATCCTAGGGAAAAATTACTTCTCTTGATAAAGATAAGATGGTATGCTGAAAAATTCAGGTTTCCCATGACTAGTTCTAAATGATTGACTATGAAATGCTGAAGAGAGTAAATAAGTTCTCCAGTAATTTAGGTGTTAGAGTAATTTGGAGCATTTAGGAGAGATGTCTGACAAATTCAGGGCACAGCTGCATTTTGTGTATGCATAGCTGTGTGTGCAGACCCACCTAGTGGAGGTACAGCAGAAACTACCAGAATTTTTTTTCCTGCTATCTTTTCATTTGCAGATTGTATTAGCTAAACTGATAAAGGTGCCCTTCCATGAGCAAAAGTTTGTGTCTGGATTTGATTGGCATCACAGTAGCAACTGCAAGGTGCAGTATCTTTGGTATTCCTCATTGGCATATGTGTGCAGATAGAACTTGGTAGACTAGGTCAAACCGTAGGCTACGATAATTGCATCTGGCAAGAATAAGAGCTGATCTTGGTTTATGCCATTTGCAGTTTAAAATAAATTACATTCAGAATGCAGAGTCTGAAATATATTTTCACGTTTATCTTCTTTCTACAGGAATGAGCTGGAACGCCAGTTTCTTGAGCTGTTGCAGTTCAATATTAATGTTCCCTCCAGTGTTTATGCCAAGTATTATTTTGATTTGCGTTCCCTGGCAGAAGCAAATAACCTGAGTTTTCCTTTGGAGCCCCTCAGCAGGGACAGAGCGTATAAACTGGAGGTAAGGCTCTTTTTAGATTGCCTAGAGTTGAATATATAGAGGGATTTGGATTTTTTGCATCGTTTCTCCCTTCTCCCATCTCTTCCCAAATATTTCCATGAGATACTAGAATATCACATGCCTTGATTTTTGTAACTGTTTTGTTTGTGCTTTGGGTATGCATGGATGTGAGGACAGCTTTTTTGGCCTGATTTGCTTCATACCTTGTCTTGCTTTCCATTCTTTTTCAGTTCTAGTTGTCTGAATTGGCCTTGTGAAAGTAGCCCCAAGTTTTACAATGACTCTGTTCACAGTCTGGTTTTGTGTATTCATTTGGTTTCTTAAAACTGATTATCCACCTTAAAGGACAGAATATTAACAAGGATGCTGAAAATAACTTCCATGTGCTTGTTATCTGCTACTGCTCCACCTCACGTGGATCCAAGTCTGTTATTTCCCCGTGGTGTTTTTCTCAGTAATGGGAAAACAGAAATAAGCACATGTCTTTAGTGAATAAATCATGAATGTTTATGAGACCTGAATATATACCATGTGCAGAAAGCACTATGTTGGATGGTCTGGACCTGTGAAATGCAGGGCACTGTGAATTCCCACAGACACAGGAGGAATTTAAAATCATCAGCCAGTTGTGGGCAATTTGCAAGACTGGAATCTATTTTTCGTGAGTTTTCTGATATGAAGTTTTTCAAATAAGGGCATTATTGCATGAGTGTGTACAGTTTTTGTTACTGGTGTTGAAATTTGTCGTCAGATACTAACTGCTTTTAATGTTGCACATCTTTAATTACATCACGGCTTTGCACTAGAGGTTGTTTGCCTATGGGTTAGAGTGAGCTTTGTGTGTTCTGAAACTCCTAGTGTTCCTCTGAAACAGGCAGGCAGTACTATACACGTTTTTTGCGGAAGAAATGGTGCATGGGAAGATTGATTGACTTGTTTGTGACTGTAATGGGAACAGAAAGTGGTGGAGAAAGAATCAAAACAGATTTCACTAAAATTGTATTTCTCATTCTTTCTAAATTTCACAGATAGCTCCATGTAACCTAATTCTGTGGATGGAATGTGATGTAAATTTGCATCAGGTTTTGTTTCTGTTGAAGAGAATTTTAAAAAAAATGAAAATTAATTGGAATTGTAGTCTTAAATTGAAAGAGCTAGTTTACTAAGTTATTAGATGGTGGGTCTTGGTAGTAGGTGCCATTATATGTATCAAAATTGAGTAAATTACTTTTTTGAGACAATTTAGTACGCAGTGTTTCCCAGCACTGTCAGTCTATATCACACGCAATATATAACAACGGGTTACAAATTAAGCTCCTAAATGATAGCTCCTAAAACCTTAGAAGAAAAGAAAATAGGAAATGACTGTAAATACCCAGAGAATACTGGTGGTTATTCTGTACTAACTAAAGAGAAGGCATATTTAAAAAGAAATAATGGAATATTTTTTTTCAATAAATCTGTATTATTAAAAATTTTCCCATATTGGGAATGCTTTGTGCTGCTAGCTGAAGTTGGCTGTGAAGTAACCCTGCTGGCCAAAGAGGATGTCTTCAGGGGAGAAGAGGAGTATCTGCTCTGAAACCAACTTGGTCTACCAGTTCCTTGCTTCTGTTCTGTGGCCCGAAGGAAGGGAACATGATGGGAACTGCCTTGTTCCATGGCAGTACTTGGTTGTCATTAGTGTGCCCTTGAAACTAGTTGACAGCATAATTTATAGCCTAGTCCCTTGAGCACAGCTAAGCATTTAGCTTGCCAAGAGTTATCAAAATGCATTTGCAGCACTTTTCTAGGTCTCTCGTGCTGTCCAGCCCAGAGTTCTCTGTTTTTAAAACAGTTGCCTGGATTGTCAAGTGCAGTAGATGTAGTACCACACAGGCTGTGATATTTTTGATACTGAAAGAAAAGCTGCAGTCTGCAATGAAAGACAACAGACTTGCAGTGAATGTACATATGCAGTGGAAGGATTTGCCTTGTCTGGTAAACTGAAAGAACGTTGCTCAGTCCTAAGGTTTAAAACAACTTCTTTACTGACATTTGAGATCACAAAAGATCTTGGATAGGGAAACGGTTATATTATAACACATTTTTTCTACTTTTACATTTTCAAGCTATTTTATATATCTAAAGCAGGAGTATTAGATCTGGCATGGCAGAAACTGCATTGCAATTGCTGCAAATATCATGAGGTTGACATACCTGTGATGACAAAAAGAACACAAGAGGACCAAGGACAAGGCTATTAAATACTGTTCCTCATCAAATGGAAATGCTGGACAAGATCCATCAGCTTAGAGGTGCTATAAGAGGTTATAGTACTTGTTAAAAATGACATCGCTTTCTGGAGCATCTGCAGTGGATGTTTTTCCTTATTTAATGTTCCCACAATTGACACTTAAGAAGCAGCTTTGTCTTTTAAATGACTAAATGAAGGTAATTTTTTCTTACTTCTCATCAGCCTGCATCCTGAATTTGTTATATCAGTCCACCTAGTAGCCAGAAACCATTTTCATGACCCCTTCTTTTTTTTCCCCATTGTATGGACTCTTGCAAGTTAAAAATGATGAATAACCTTTCATTAGATCATCCAGTCTGTCCACCTTCCAATGCTGTTTGTTCCAGCCAGCATATGTTGTGGTGTGTTTTCACATTCCTTTTAATTATGTCAAATGTCAAGGCTTCCTTTGCTTGTCCTGAGAACTATTTTCTAATATGGGAGATATCTCTGTGAAGAAGGTTGTTGGATATCCAACCTTAATCCACTATTTTGTGATTTCCTACTCTTGTGCCTGGTTATTCTTCCATCTACTGAGCTAAAAATAAGTCAGGGTCTGCTCTTTGGGGTAAGTCCACAAAACATGCCTAGTGTATTTCTCCTTGTGATCTTAGCACTGTGCTCGCTTCAAGGCTAGATTTTGTAAGAGCATTCGTTAGTGCACTCCCAGTTTAACTGACTGTATGTTTTCTGAGCTTTTTATTGTTAGGATAGTGCTTGAGCACATAGTTCAAACCCTTTGAACTACATGCTGTGTTTTCTGGACCCTAAAGTAGTACAGTCCCATAGATCAAACAGACAAAAAAGAGGAGAAAAATATGTAAGTTACAAGTAGAGAACTGTCTTTATATCCCTCCAGCTTCCCACTGTCTCATTGATTGACTGCAATCCTCTGTGTTTTGTATGTTCAGAACCCTCTTAGCCAAGAAGGGAAGGCAGAGCAAAACTCCCCTGCCCTTTTGTCAGGAGTAACCTGGTAGCTGTTCTTTTCATTCTCCATAAATTAAGGAGAACCCCCATCATCACAACTTCCAGTTGTTGTAGTGATTTTTTTTTAAAATTTTTTTTTTTTACATTTTCCTTGTATATAACCCTTCCAGATTTAATGCTGTCTGTCCCTGCTAAGTTCTCTCTGGTTTGTTGATTTTTTGGCGGTGTTGCAGCACTTGTAGTTGTGTGCCTTTGTGCATTCCCAGCGGTGAAGCCATAGCCAACCCTTCTGCTTTCCTACCCTGCACAAACATGTGCATGCAGCCAAAATTTATACTACTACTACTGCCTTTCTCCCCCTTCCTTTCTCCTTACCTGCCCCCTTCACCAGTGAGAAAGTCTCATCTAGAGTCATATAACTCATCAGAGGATCTGACTTCTAGTTCTGTATGCATCTATATAATGGAAGAATACATATCTGTGCTGATTACAGATATTACAACCAATTCCAACAAAATTTCACATAATTGAATAATGGTGCTGTTTTTAAGAATCTTTTGATTTCATATGAGAAATGGTCCCTTGCAACAGTCAAAAATTGGTTTCTTTTTCTAGTAATAAAAACAACAGAAGACAGAGAGGTGTTTATAAGCTATTTGGATTTATTTTAACTGAAGGACAATAATAATTATTTACAATTTTCTGCTTTTGTCTTGTTTCCCTGTATGTTACATTAAAGTTGACTAACTTACTTGCCAAATAGGCTCCAAATGTCAATTTTGTAATTTAATTGCAAATGAAGAGGCATCTTTAGATACAGGATTGCTTTAAACAGCAGTCAATCTGTTTCTTATCCATGTGATTAATCGCCAGAGAGTAGAGATGCCAAATATTGCATGCCACTTCCAAGAAAAATTTCATTTTGTCTGACCAAGTGCCAGAACAGAAATTTTCTGTGAAACAGGCAATTTTGAAGGGATTACCTTCTCTGGCTCTTTGATGCCTAAGGTAATAGCCTGATTTGGCAGCGGAAAGAAGCTGAGCTCCACCTCAGTACGCATATTTGCCAAGCCATGCATTGGCACATTATTTCATGATTAAATGCTTTTCATGTATTGGATTTTAAATCTGATTGAATTGCATAAACTCTCTTTGTCCATTGAGTTCCTGGTTAAATTAAATTAAATGTTATTAAGCAGTTTTAAGTGAGTAAGTTATGGTCTACAAAGCGACGGGAATATTTGCGTTATTTTATTCTGTTGTTCTCTTCATGTGCACCAAGACAGAAAGCTGTGTTCAAGAATGATCGTAGTGAGATGAAATTCAGTTTCCAACTAAAAAGTGGCAACTAGTTTCGTGGTGGTGGTGGTAGGTTTTGTGTTGGTTTTGTTTTTTTTAATTTAACAATGTTTTATGGCTGGCTTGACCAAAACATTAGGTGCATTTGCTCTCAGATGTACGAGTTGTGTGCTTCTGTCATGCCTGCCTCTGGTCTTTGCAGGACTATTAAATTTAAAGAACTCTTCACTGCTACAACTTGCTGTACGATAGAAGTAAAGATCAGGAAAGAAAATGATGATCAGTGGAGTCAGGCTGTTTATTTGTATTGCCATGTTTTATAAGCAAACACTTGTACTGGTTTTGTTTGTACAGTACTTTTTATTAAACATCCTATCTTAAGACACCACTTGAAAGCATTCCTGAATAAATAAAAATACTGTTTTAGTTCATCTTATTTTTTTAATTTGACCTTGCAGTGAGTTTTCTCTGCAGTTCTGCATGTTTGATTGACAGAGTTAACATCCCTACTGATGCCAACCATAGCCTGTCCCAACCATATGAACTCTAACCGACATGCTATTTTAGGGCATGGTGTATTTGTTCATATGAGGTCCATAATAAATATTTGTTTTAAACTTGGCTAAAAACAGTAGAAGAAACATAAAATAAAATGTTAACTCCAGTGTAGTGTAATAGGAGCTCACATTTGAATAATGTTTATCTCTCTCTTTTAAAGCTTTTTAACATTTGTATGTATATGTAATGCAAATTAAATTATTCTGAATATGAGTTACGTTTCCCACTGGCACTATGTAAGATAGCCTGATCACACAGAAATCACCATCTCCTTCTGAAAGGCAAGTAAATGTCAGCCCTGTAAGGAAAGCAGGGCGAGTATTCTGCCAGACCATTTATTGGTAGAGAAAAATATGATTACTACAGGACTTTTTAGGAAATTTTAAAAAACCCCAAGAGCCATCCTCTTTATAAATTCTCTGAATATACTTACAATGTCTATAATTGTTTTATTAAGTTTTCCACAATTTTTCATCAATGAAGTGCTGTATCTTGAGTTACCAAACAGCAGTGGGTAAGCATTGTCAGCTACCTTGATGCAATTTGTGACAGTTAACCTGTAAAGAAAAGGCTTGGAATATGCTCACGCAGTCCTTCAAAAGCAGCTGTGATGGGCAATGCAATGTCAGTGTGGTTCTTTCTTTTAAGATTAATGAAATGAGAAAGAGGATTTGGGGAGAAGCTCTTCACATGTTTTGCTTCATGAAGTGACGTTTTGTAATTCTACCTCTATGTAGAAATCTGCATTTAGTTGTATTTTACCTGTACAGCTGTGGTCAATGCAACTGAGACTTTTTCATTCTTTTGTCTTACAGGCCATTTCCCGCTTGTGTGAAGATAAATATAAGGACTTCAGGAAAGCTGCAAAGAAACGGTCAGTCAGTGCTGACAATCTGACTGTGGTTAGATGGTCCCCTGCTATTATCTCCTAACAGAGGAGACTGGAATATTCCTATGGACGTACTGTTTCATCCATCCATTTTTTTTTTCGGGGTGGGTTGGGGCGGGGGTATAAAGAAAAAAGACTTCTGATTTTTTTATTTTTAAATCTGTCAAGCTGCCTTTACAGTGCCTCCCCATTGTGTAGCACACAAGTAAAATACCTAGTGGAAGGAGAAATGGAGAAATCGGTGTTTGGGAGAGAAGATGGGCAACAATTTTTTTTCTCACTTTTGCTAACAGCTTTACCCTTTTCATGAGGAAACAGCAAATCAGGTGCTTGGAAGAAGAAACAAAAAATGAAGTAGAGGCAGAAAAATATTTCAGAACTGTGCCACTTTCTCATATGCTGTACCTCATGAAGAGAAGTGGCAGCATGAAAACAAACCATGTAGTCAAATGACTGTGCTCTAGAGGAATGAAGTTGGGAGAGTTCCATCTTAAAGGTTTCTCTTAATATCTTTTTTTGTTTGTTTGTTTTGTGTTTTTGCATTCCTCATTGCTGCTTCCCAGGATAAATTCTTCCCCTTGCGCAGCAGCAAATACAAAATCTGTATTTACAGTAGCACAAGCCCCTGAATAAATAGCATTGGGTTTTTTCACTGCACTTTTCTCTGTAAGCTGTCTTATTAGCATTACTCTTCATAATTATTATGCATATGTTACATTTCTTGTATGCCTTTTATTGTATTTCAAAAGAGAGAACTTGACCATAGTGCTGAACCAAAAGTGTGTACAGGGATCAGAAGATCTTCATAATTTCATGATGTGTTTTATTTATAGTATACTTGGGTGCGTGTGCCTTCCTGAGTTCTTGGAATCATTTATTTTTCCTTAATATAAAGATACAGTTATTAAAGTATTCAAATGATGATGATAAGACTTGGGCCAAATCTCTGAAATTTGCAACAGATTCTTTTTGCAGATTTTCATAGCATTAGAAGTTTAGCAGAATTCATTTTGAGGGAGGGTTTGTTGTTTTTTTATGGACTGACTAGTTCATTCCTTCACCTCCAGGTCCATTGTTGCAAGCAATATTCTCGATTTTTATATGTTTACTTTAAATCAAAGTGAGTCTGTTTCTATAAAATAAAAAATAATAAAAAAAACCTGTTCCAGTAGAAGGCCTGTAGAAGAGTAGAGTGGAAATCTTAACAAGTTATTTGTCACAAGTAGATTCGATTTTGAAGCTAAAATACAAACCCTCGTGTTTTTCAGTGTAGGTGCTTATAGAAATTAAAAGTAACCAAACTGTGAACAGAATTTTCAACTCTGATTACTAGGCTCTTCTGTTGTTGTTACTAGTTCCCTCTTACTGTGGCTGTTGCCCCCTTGGAATTTGTAAGAACCTTTTATTGAAATAACTTGTCAGTATAAGCATATTTGCTTTATAATGCCCCAGGGTGATTTTTTCCCCCATTTTTATTTTTTTGCACAATTTAGAAAGATATAGCTGAAAACGCTCAGTTCCCTGAAGTCGTTTCTTTATAACTATCACTGAAATGAATGGCAACAGACGTCCCTGATTTATGCACTACTGTGGTAAACCATAAAGATTCCTTATTTGTTTTATTAAGCCCTATGGGCTTGTAGCAAACCTAGAGGCCCAGAGATGCACACCTGACTTCCAGTGCAGTGCTAATCGGATGCCTCCGGGCAGAGAGGCACTGACAGGATTGAAGTAGTAATACCAAACAGTTTTCTGTTAACTTTCTAATGTGATTCGTGTAGTTTGAGACGTGAAGGTTTTGTCCACAAATTCTCCTGATGTCCTTTTGGGCCTTCAAAATAAACTAATCTCATCACTTCTTGTTGTGCCAATGCATCAGAACTGTGAGTATCCAAGTCCCATTTTTCCCTTGAACATGGAATGTAAAGAAAGTGTTTATAACAATACAAGTACAAATTACAGCATTTGAAACCTCTTTACAGATAGTATCAAAAGGAGCATTTTCAGAGCATTTGAAATTCATCCTTTATAAGCATAAATTTAGGCTTTAAAATATTTTGATTTATCAACACTTTGCTAAAGTATTTTCCATTTAACCTGGTATCAGGAATATTGGTTTTATCCATTTCTGGGTGATAGAGATATGAACTTTGGATTATGTAAAAATCTCAATGCATCTACTATAATTTTTGTGAAGTTTATTAAACTACTTTAAAGATTGTATAGTCTATTTATTGTATGTATGTACATACAGTCTGATACTTTAAAAAGTGGATTCCGTAAAACCTGGCACAGTCTTGTTTAGACTATTGAATATCGTTTTAGCCTTGTGCACTGGACTCTACCTCTGTATAGGAGAATTTTCCATATTCTTAATTAGTACTGATTCTGTGATTAACTTGGTTATGTTTCTTGCACTAAGAATTAAAAAAAAAAAAATCTGCTGTAAGTGTGGATTTTTTCTTTAGTTTAAGTTTTGCCGTATGAATCCTCTACATTTAGGTGGATGTTTCTTTCCCTCGTGGTTATAGAATAACTCTTTGCTTTTTCTTCTGGTTTGTTCCAGGGTTGCCAAAAAATACAGTACCTGTCAGTAAATCTTAATGAGTGTCTTTTGTTTGCAAGGTATTCTATACCATGTAATGAAAAATTAATTATTATTTAGGATTATGTTGTGTTTAGTGTAGTTTTTTAAGCATTACTGTATGGAAAATGCTATTGCAAGGTCAGAGAATCACGCGGGGTGTGAGAAGGGAGGAGAATTAAATAGTGTTTTAATTAACAGCACAAATACATTGTGTTTTTCATTTCAGAACCTGAAACTAAATTTGCTGTAAATGTTTTCTGAATCAAGGTTTTCATTATTGCTTTGGTCACCGGCTCAGAAATGAAAAGGTGTAGGAGATGTAATAAACCTGTCCCTTCAAGCATCATTGTCTTAATGAATTATTTTTATATGTTAAGCCAGTGGGCCATTCATTTGGTCATTAATGCATTGGTAATTGGATCAATAATTGAAAAAGGCATCTTGTAACAGCTTGTATTCGTGCATCCCTCTGCAGTCCAGAGATGTATCCCTAATTCCTCTTTCCATCTGCAGACTTGTTTATATTTCATTTTTTGTCAATGATATTACGTCATTCTGACAGACGCTGTTCTTTGGGACTGAGAACGCTGGATTCACAGAATCCAAGAACCATGGAATGGTTTGGTTGGAAGGGACCTTAAAGATCACCCAGTTCCAACCCCCCTGCCATGGGCA